TTTTTTAAACGTGCGCGTTTTTGTGTGGCGGTTGCAGGCCGTGGTGGGTGTATATTATTATTGTTATAATTATGATGATGATTTAGTAAAATTGTTATAATAATAATATTACTAATAGTAGTAGTAGTAATGATTATTATTATTATTATTATTATTATTATTATTATTATTATTATTATTTATTATATCACCATTGTTCTTATCAATTTATTAGTTTTAAATGTGAATTAACGACGCCTTACTTAAGAAACGAGCGTGCCATGCCACACCTCTCATCTCAAGAATAGCAACTGCATCGGATTGTAGCGTCTGCGAAGGGTATGCAACAAGCTTCTGTATGGGACGGGCGTGGCAGCTGTGTTGTTGGGGGCGTTTGTGTTGGTTCACATAGGAAGATTGGGCATACCGGGGGCTAGCGGAGTGCAAGTTGCAAGATCCAGTGGGATTTAGTGGTTATCGGGCTTTGAAAGGGGTTTGTTGAAGGGGGAGGGGGTTGGGGAGTTGGTAAGGTCGAAATTGCTTTGGTTGGTGGTTCGTACTCTCTCTCTCTCTCTCTCTCTCTCTCTCTCTCTCTCTCTCTCTCTCTCTCTCTCTCTCTCTCTCTCTCTCTCTCTCTCTCCCTTCCTCTCTCTCTCTCTCTCTCTCTCTCTCTCTCTCTCTCTCTCTCTCTCGCTCTCTCTTCTTTTTTTCTTTTTTTTTTTTTTACTTAATTGTTGAAGTGTAGTTTGGATTTTCTTTTCGTTTCTGTTCTGTAAAAGGCGATTTTTTTTATTGGACTCAGCTGTGCATATTTGATTTTTTTTGGGGGAATAGTTTTTGTTTCTTCGTCTTTCTGTAGCATTCCTAATATTGTGTATTGATTTTTTTTTTTTTTTTTTTTTTATAGTGGCGCACATACCTCTACCTTGCGTCTGCGAATGTGTCTATCGAACCAGATACTTAAAATAGACTCCCAGTGGGTTCTGTTTGGCTCGTGTTTGTTCATGGCGTCATGCGCGGCGTTCCATGGTGTGCGTTTCACGGTTCGCTAGTGGTCGTTTCAGCAACATGTGCAGGAGTGCAGGGCCTCCGCTCGGGAACTCCTGTTAGCTTGCAGGTCGGCTGTCATGGCGCATAGTTGCTGTGTTGTTTAGGTAGATGTTAAGGTAGATGGATTTTTTGTTTGTTTATACCTGGATGTAGTCTCCCCGCGCCTTGCTGTTCCTTTGCGTCCGTATTCGTGATCTGTATGGCGCTCCCGTGGTCTTTTGTGATTGCGGTAAACAATAGTTGTGTGATATTTAAGTTATTATTTTCGTGACGATTAACACGTCTGATTGCTCTGGTATCAGTTCCGTGTGACTTTCTCAGGCGCGCTTGTCTCCAGCCAGTTTGATTTTCAAAAGGGGTAGATTTTTTTTCTTTTTTTTTTTTACTTACTAATTCCTGGCGAGACTGAAGATATTTATTTATTCGTCTTAAAACTCGACGGAATAACACGTACCTTGTTGAAAGGGGGTTTGCAATTCGTAAGAAAATGATAATGATACTAAATTGGGATAAAAATAATTTCAATAATGGTAATAACGGATAATGCGAATAACGATGATGATAATGATAATATTAATAAAAACGATAATACACAACGCAATACATTAAAGGAAAAAAAACAATGAACAATTCAAACGAAAAACAAGTTCCGTGAACACCAAGCCCTTAAACTCCCACGCGTTCCGACACAGACGCAGAAAGCTCTCGCGTCGTCGTGTGTGCGTGTCGTCGGCCGCCCGTAATGCCAGCGGGTCTCGATTTAGGGTCCTGCTGGGTGACGGGGCGGGCCGACGCGGGACTCGACTTACGTTTGTTTCTTTTGGGATTTTACTTTTGTGTTATTTATTTATTTATTTATTTATTTTTGGTTGGCACGTTTGTTATTGACGCTATACTACTACTACTATTATTATTAGTGTTAGTATTATTATTGTTATCATTATCGTTATTGTTATTGTCGTTATTACTACTATTATTGCTATTATTTTTTGTTATTAATACTATTATTGATATTACTATTACTATGACTACTACGACAACTGTTATAATAACTACTACTATTACTGCAGCTGCTATTATTATTGCTGTTTTTGTTTTTACTATTATTATTGATATTGCAATGACTACTACAACAACAACTATTACTACTGCTACTACACCTACTTACCACTACTTACCACTTACTACTATTACTATCAGCTTTATCACCATGCATATTATTGTTGTTGTTGTTGTTATTGTCATTGTAGTTGTTATCATAAGCTTATGATTATGATAAATCGGTCCATTTAAGTACCATTGATAACCTTAATATTATTATTGTTTATTTTTATATTATGTGAGATTTAACTTTACCTGAATATAATATGTTAAAATACCATGGACGTGGACTCAAGTCTATTTATTTATTAATGTTCTTTTTTTTTAATACTTTTTCGCTCCAAAAATAAGGAGAACGAAATCCGGATAATAAGGTCGTAATTCTATTGTTTTTACAGCGGACATGCGACCTAATGATCACGGGGCGAAAGGGTGGAGCTTGCGTGCAGGTTTTGGACAAGGGGGGGGGGGGGGGGGTATAACAGGTGTGCAGGGCGGCTGGTGCCAACGGCGTCATTGCTTCGTCAGGTTGCTCGTGCCCGCCCCCCCCCCCCCTTCTTCCTCGCTGGGGATAGGTAGCCCTTCATTGTGCGTATGTGTGTGTGTGTGTGTGTGTGTGTGTGTGTGTGTGTGTGTGTGTGTGTGTGTGTGTGTGTGTGTGTGTGAGCGTGTACGCGCGCGCGCGCGCGCGCGCGCGCGCGCGCGCGCGCGCGCGCGCGCGCGCGCGCGCGCGCGCGCGCGCGCGCGCGCGCGCGCGCGCGCGCGCGCGCGCGCGCGCGCGCGCGCGCGCGCGCGCGCGCGCGCGCTCGTATATGTGTGTGTGTGTGTGAGCACGCTTGGTATGAGATGAGGTGAGTATGAAGTGAATATGCGAGTGAGGGATAGGAGGTATGAGGTGAGTGGGCGGGTGGGCGGGCATGTGGCTTGGCGACGGGCGGACCAAGGGGGGGGGGGGGGGCGAGGGGAAGAAAGGTGGGCTGAAGGGTGGGCGGGTAATAGGAGGAAAGGTGGGCGGGCGAAGGAGGTGGGAAAGGTGGGCTGTGAAGGGTGGGCGGGCGAGGGGGGGGAGTGGGCTGTGAAGGGTGGGCGGGCGAGGGGGGGGAAGGTGAGCGACAGGTAGGTGGGTGAGGGGAGAGAAAAGTGGGCGATAGGTGGGCGGACGAGGGGAAAGCTTTGCTGAATGCAGAGTCGGTAGGTGGGTGTATGGAGGAGAGGTGGGTGTGAAGGGGGGAGAAGAAATGATCGAGTGTGTGAGTATGAGTTGAATATGTGTGTGTGTGTGTGTGTGTGTGTGTGTGTGTGTGTGTGTGTGTGTGTGTGTGTGTGTGTTTGTGTGTGTGTGTGAGCACGCTTGGTATGAGATGAGGTGAGTATGAAGTGAATATGCGAGTGAGGACGAATGGGTATGACGTGATCGAGAACGATAGGTATGGCGTTGAATATGTTCGAGGACGCTGGGTATGAGGTGCATATGTGACTGAGGGCGCGATGGGTATGGCGTGAATATGCGAGTGAGGGATAGGAGGTATGAGGTGAGTGGGCGGGTGGGCGGGCATGTGGCTTGGCGACGGGCGGACCAGGGGGGGGGGGGTATAACAGGTGTGCAGGGCGGCTGGTGCCAACGGCGTCATTGCTTCGTCAGGTTGCTCGTGCCCGCCCCCCCCTTCTTCCTCGCTGGGGATAGGTAGCCCTTCATTGTGCATATATGTGTGTGTGTGTGTGTGTCTGTGTGCGCGCGCGCGCTCGTATATGTGTGTGTTTCTTATTGTAGAAAAAATGAAATAAATAGGAATGGGCATTTTCTTTGTTTTATTATATTTTTATTTGTTCATCTCTCGCTCTCGCTCTCTTTCTGTTTTTTTTTTTCTCTCTCTCTCTTTTCTTTTCTCTCTCTCTCTTTTTTTTTCTCTCTCTCTTTTCTTTTCTAATTCATATTTGTTTTCCCCCTTCATTCATCGCGTTCTTGCCTTGCGTGTGCGTGTCGTCTGCGCGTCTGTTCTGTATTCAGGGAATGTCAAGGGAGTTATTGTTCTTTCAGCAATATTTACGTTTTTTTCTACATTTTTGTTCTTTTACTTTTAGATCGTGAAAAGAATCCGCGATAACGTAATAATGATACTAGTTGTAGTAGTAGTAATAATAATAATGATAATGATGATGATGGGAATTATGGTGGTGGTGATGAAAATAATAATAATGGTGATAATGATAGTAATCATAATTATGGTAATAATAACATTGATTAAGACTATAGGATTATGCTTGTGCAGTGTGACATGTTTATCAAAGTCACCCGGTCATTTAGAAAACGGAGACGCACAAGTCAAGAGTTTACCCGGAATGTCTTTGCCTTTGAACACGCTGCATATAAAACATATTAGCATATTTCTAACGTCAGTCAAATTGCCTGATTCCAACCCCTTTCAGTCCGAATAAATTTAGTCCCAGATCATCAATAAATTTAGTCCCAGATTATCCTCAAGCTACGAAATGCAGGTCGAGGTGGTGGGATATTTTCTTCCGAGTGCTAAACTCGCTTCGGCTCACTTCAGTTCGCTTCGGCTCCTTTTAGATCATTTCTAATTACATTGGGTCATTTTTTTTACTCGCTTTAACTTGCTTTAGCTCGCCTCAGCTCACCTTAACTCATTCCAACTTGTTTGAACGTGCCTTAACTCGTCTCAGCTCCCCTTATCTCGCCTCAAGTTGCCTCAGCTCGTTTCAACTCCCATCCACTCATTTCGACTCACCTCAGCTCGCCTCAACTCACTCCAACTCCCCTTAATTCAGCTCACCTCACTCCAACTCACCTTCACTCATATCAGGTCGCCAACAACTCGTCTCAACTCATCTCCTTTCTCCTCTTGCAGTTTTGTGCAATAGTGTCTACGGTGCTGAGCGTGGGTGCTGTGGTGGGCCACTTGGTGCCTGGTGCTGTGCTGGTGTACATCCTGCTCATGCTGGTGATGACGGGCCCGGGGATCCTGCTGCACGTGTTGCCCGACTCCTTCTACGAGCGCCTGGCCAAGATGAGGGCGGCGCTCCGGGGGGAGGACTCGGAGATGGGTGGGTAGCTGCCGCGGTGTTGGCCCTTCTGTGGCATGCCTTTTATCGTTTCATTCGCTTATTTCATTTTTGGTTCGTTCGTTCGTTGACGTGCGAATGCGTTTTCTTTGTTTAATTCAGTGATTCATTCGAATATTCGTTTGTTGGTCGTTTTCTTTCCGTTTCCCTCCGGCTGTAGTCCTGTCTCGCGGCTAACTCTTGGCACCTTTTGCAGAGATCTCCAACGTGTCTCTGGACAGCGACCTGACGGAGTTCATGCCGGAGCTCCAGTCCGCCGAGGCTCAGGCAGCTCTGGACGTGCCCCTCATGAGCCAGGATCCTCCAGAGGTGGAGCAGATGGTGGAGGACGCCTACCTGCAGGAGGAGTCGGAAAGGAGCACGAGGAAGAGGACCAAAAATACTGGCGGAGGCGAGAGAGGCGAAGGGGCCCCTGCCGCTCAGGGACTGACCTTGCCTCTCAGCTCGGAAGGTGGGCAGGAGATTGGCACCTCGGGCTTGGTTGCTTGTGTGCGACATGTGCATGCATACACATACACATGTACATATACACACATGCACACACACATGCATATACACACACCACACACACACAACTCACACATGCACAACTCACACGCACACGCACACACACACACACACACACACACACACACACACACACACACACACACACACACACACACACACACACACACACACACACACACACACACACACACACACACGCCCACACACACGCCCACACACACGCCCACACACACGCCCACACACACGCCACACACACACACACACACACACACACACACACACACACACACACACACACACACACACACACACACACACACACACACACACACACACACACAAGTGTGAAATATCAGTAATAGTACGAATGTGAAAGTAATGACTGGGCAAGTTATTGTCAGCTTGTATTGTGTCTAGAACTTTCACCACATATTTAAATATTTATACATATGTGTCTTGGTTTGTAGAAGAGAGAAGCCTGTCAAGAAAAATTACATTTATAAGATAAAAAAAAGAGAGAAAAAGATAACAAAGAATGCATATTTTACATTTGTTATTTTCTCCCTACAGATGGAATCAGCTCTACATTTTTCACAAGTGGACTTCCTGAGGATTTCCCTTCCTATGACCATGACAGCGTTGAGGATCTTGATGGTCCTGATATAGAGCTTCCTGACCTCCCCAAAGTAGTAAGGGAGCCTGTCCCAGAAAGGCAGGGCACCGGTGGGGATAGATATCAAATGGAGTTTGTCTCCTCACACTTTGGTGATAGCAGTGAGGAGGAGGATGCCTTTTTAGAAGGATTAACCTTCGAAGAAAGGGTCCAGGCAAGGCCAGAGCCCCGGGCACAGCCCTCCATCCCTAGTCAAACAAATACTTCGCCGCCTATGGATCCCATAGGCCAATTAATGACTAGCGTTATAGCTCAAAATGCAGGCAATGTTTTATCTGCTCTTGGACAGAATTTAATGACATCTGTGATAGGGCAAGCAGCAGCACAGGCCCAGCCGCCACCCCAAATGAGCCAGCAGCCAAGACGAACGGCAGCAGAGCCAACAGCAAGAATGACAAGGTCACAAGACCGTCAGCAGCAATCGGTGACAGATCTTGAGGAAGACTTTGAACTTATTTCTGATGAAGAGTTCCAGTGATTTAGTGTGCTTTGGACAGGCATGTGTAGCTGAAGAAAAAGATGTCATAATACTAGAGCAACAATATTTTGGAGCAACTACTCTCTTAGAAACATTCGTTTGAAGAAAAGTCCTTTAGTTATGATAAAGCTATTTTTTCTTGTATTAATGCACCGATAGTATGAAATTTTTCATATCAAAGTGATGGTGGCCTTAATAATGATATCTCAAGGAGTACCATTCTTACAGTATAACAGTGTTTGTTGCTGTAATGTTTTTACTTAATTAAAAAGTACAGCTAGGAAAAGAATAGAAGTTACCCTCCATTTTGATTCTTTATCTCCCTTCTTTTAATTGCTATTGGTACTCAGGGCAAGACCGTGCTGAACTAACTCTGCTTGAGAGGTTGAACATTCTAGTGAAGTGGCCAACCACAGTAGTTGTTACTTTTTGATCTTTTGAGATCTCATTCCTAAAGAGTAACTTACCTGTCCTTTGCCAGCCTACTCCCTTGGAATTGTTGTTGATGTGCACAAATGCAAATCATTCAGCTGTCCTGTTTTACAGTTTCTGAAATTCACTGAAAAGCCAAAGGTTTACAGATATGGGAATATGCACACACACACACACACACACACACACACACACACACACACACACACACACACACACACACACACACACACACACACACTCTCTCTCTCTCTCTCTCTCTCTCTCTCTCTCTCTCTCTCTCTCTCTCTCTCTCTCTCTCTCTCTCTCTCTCTCTCTCTCTCTCAGTCTTAACCCAATTGGCATGGAAGGCAATACTAGCCATGTCAACTATCATGTTAGTTTCTTAGCTGTCTTTATGCACAGGTGGCTCTAAAAATGCTAAGTCACCAAGGAGTCAGTTATTATTTGTACCTCTTTCAGCTGTTTTCCATACTCCTTGGAAAGCTTCTTTTTTACTATATTTTTGTCTTTATTGTTATTAGCTATCATTAACAGTAACAGTTTTGATGTTCAATCCTGCAGATTCAAGGAATAGGGAAATTAAATGTGGTCACTGATTGACTCATGTGGTACCTTCTGTATGTAACAAATTTCACAAAAAAAAATCCATTAGACAGTACATAAACTTGAAGCAATTGGGTTAATTACACATTCATACACACTCACTCACACTCTCATGCTCATGATCATGATATCTTACATTTACCTTTACATATTCTCTCTCTCTCTCTCTCTCTCTCTCTCTCTCTCTCTCTCTCTCTCTCTCTCTCTCTCTCTCTCTCTCTCTCTCTCTCTCTCTCTCACTCTCTCTCTCACACACACACACACACACACACACACACACACACACACACACACACACACACACACACACACACACACACACACACACACACACACACACACACACACACACACAAACAACATATATACATATATGTTTATTTATATACACATATGTATCTTCATATGTGTTCATAAATAATGCATCTTCTCCTCCTCCTCCCATCCTACTTTCATTAAGCATATTCACACTTGTGTGTGTGTACAGGCAAGCTTGGATATTTTTGAAAATTAGATTGCAAGAAAGAAAGAAAAAAATGCTGCTATTTTAGAATGGAATCCATATTCCAGTCAAGTGCAGAAGAAAGACTTTGTTTATATATATGTACATGTTTGAAAAAGTTTGTTCCAAAGTAACACAGCATGATGTTGGAAGGGTATTGAAAGGAACTGTCCATTTCTAATATAGTTTTGTGTGATTGTGAAAGCAAGTCTTATTTATGCATGTTTGTGTGATTGTTCATATATTTATATATATATGTATATACTTGTGTATATGTGTATATGCACATGGAAATCCATACAGCATGAATTTATATGCAGATAGATTGGGTCTTGAATTTTATCAGCATTTATTGGAATACTGTCTGTATAACCTGTTTAGTAAAAAAAATAATAATAATAATAATGATAATAAATGAAAAGAAAAAAAACTAGGATGATCAAGTGAAAGACAAACTGTAACATCTGTTTGTATTCCAATCCATGAACGGCTAACATTTAGTAAGGTATATGTGATTGTGAAAAGGTCATTTAGAAATATTTGAGATTATGACTATATGAAAGAGCCTTCCCTGTGTTTTGTTTTGTTTTTGTTTTTTGTTAAGTGTCAAGCCATGATTATTTGAAGGCTAGGATGAAAAGGCAGCTTGGAGTATCAACCTCACTTCAGCTGAATGCATTCAGCATAATCTCAATAATTTTATTGTCTTTTTTATCGTTTCCACAATTAGTGGTTGGAGCTTTCTGATCACATGCTTTTTAGTATGGAAATGCATTCAGGAGTGATAAGCTGCAATGAACAGTATTAGTATTTCCTGTGGTAATCGGATTTCTGTTTCAGTCCGAATTTTACATTCTCTTTCCCCCAGTAATTGTATAGGGTAAAGCGGGACTCCAGGGATTAAAATCACTAGCTTTTCAATTACTTATTTTCATTTGCTATGTCTTCCTTAGAGTGCCCCTGTGGCAGTCACTTTCATACAGTATTACATATTCAGAAATATTTCTGAATTGACATTAATAAGGGAGCCTTGCAACTGAAAATTTTATTTCATTATTTATTAGAATTCAAGCACTGTTGTTTACTTTTTTCTCTCTCTTCATATGTGAAATTGTTCAGATTTGTTTTTTAATTTAACATTATAGATCATGCATTATCTTCCAAAGTTCAATTATTATTTTTTTATGGTTGGAGAATATGATGATATCCTAGTGTGTTTACATTTTAAAATGTAAGGCTTTGTTAAATCTGGTTTCCAGGTTTTATGTGTTTTGCAGTAAGATTGGGTTAAGGAACTGTGTCATGGTGGATTAGGCAGTGATATAATTGTGATTGTTTATGTAGATTGTGCCTGGATGGAGTTTGAGCAAAGTGATTTGTTTGTAAGAAAAATCAGCATCAATAGAAGTAGTATAAACCTTAGAATTGGTTGAACTTCTTGGAGATAGTATGACCAATTAGGTATACACTATAGGTCTTTTTGGTAACATTTCCAAAACCCCTAACACTTTGATACACTCTGATACATGTTTGCCCTTTATGTGTACATTATTGGAACCTGTTGAAACAATTTTTCATTTTGTAT